CAGGCGGGTACAACAAACAAGAGAGATGACGTGTTTTCTTTGAGCTCCTCTCGACACCGAAATGTGACAACGGCCTGAAAGTGAAAGAAGAAGAAGAAAGGCTAAAAAGAAAAAAAAGAGTTAAGTTTCACAAGTTTTACAAGGGCGCTAATTATTTAGATCTACGTTTTGGTTATCACAAGGGGGTGTGTAGTGTAGGGGTATGTGGTTAATCACAGGAACAGGTCTACGCTGAGAACAACAGGCCTGGACGTCTGTATGTCTGTCTGTCTGTCTGTCTGTTTGTCTGCCTGCCTCCCTCGCTCGTCTTTCCTCGTGCGTGGTGACGCATGGAGTGGTCGGGAGAGGGGCCGCTTCTTTTTGCCTTCTTCTTCTACTTCTCGGCTAGCACGACAAACGAACGAACGAAAGGAGGGAACTAGTGCCCGCCGCGCAACCGTTCATATGGTACGGTAAAAAGTTGTAACACTCCTGCCTCAACTGCCTGACTCCCTCTCTCCCCTCGTCGTATACCGTAGAGAAAATCTCGCCAGAGAGAGGATAGAAGGACAGACAGACACAGACCGTCAGAAGACACGGTTTCTCTTCCTTCCATTCCCCGCACTTCCACCTCCTCGCACCGCACCGCACCGCGCTACACCCAAGCGCACAGCGCACAATATTATCGTCAGCGGGCCAGTCGGTCAGGTGAATTGCGCGTGTTGTGTTGGTAGAGGTAGAGCGTGGATCAACAGTGTGTGGTGTGTGCTGCGGCCCTCCGCGATAATTTTGTTTGTTGTAGAGTGTGTTGCAAAGTTATCATCACCTGTGTTTATATGTGTGTTCTCTCACCACCATCAACACTGGCTACTTTTCCTTCTACTGCTGTTGTGTGATTCAAAGATGACAATTACTGGCTGTGTAAAGTTGAGGAACCTCGGCGTAAATGATTACTTCTAACTGAGGCGGACTGAATTAGGTTAGAATCATGTGTTCAGTCATGCGTTTGCTAAAAGTTTTCGCTGTGTCTGTGTGTGAATAGGCTAGCCTACCTGGATTTTAAACTCTGGTGGTTTCCTGAAGGCAGGAGGAGGAAAGACTGACCGACCGCACTATCGTGTTCATTTTTAAAAAACTTTCTCGGAAGAGCAACAGCTGTTCTTTTCGCTATCATGTCATAGTTTATTTTTTCTTCCTGGATATAAAGGCTAACAGGCTTACGTTGACCAGTGGAACAGTAACGGTCTATCGCCTCTGTGAGGGAAGTTGGGTGTGGACATGGGGAAGATAACATCACTTTCGGCGTCTCAACAGTGCTCTCTGGTTCTTGGATTACTTTTTGTTCATGGCCTTTTCATCGGCGGTGAGTACAGTGAATGGTTTTATTATTTTGTCTTCGTCTTCAACCTTATCTATTCCTTCTCTTCTGTCCTCTTTTCTCGCTTTTCACCTTCTTTCTTTCACTTTTTCCTTTTTT